CCGAAAGGGAAATTCTTAATTGTTCTTATTCTTAGATAGAATAATATCCCACAAAAATATGTTGTTTTAAAAACTATCGATGGATCATTCCGGTAGGTATGCTTTATAGTTCTAAGATATGGTGCTAATAGTTAATATTAGTTCCAGATCTTGTAAGAACAATTTTTGTTCATAAATTTTTCATTTTGTAAAAGTTTTATGATTTTTGTAAAGAGTTTTATGTCTCATGCTGAGTATATGATAATAGCATGTCTTAACTCCAAGTTAAAAGTTTGAACTATTTTTAAAATAAGTCCTGAGTGACCTCTCAAAGCGTAAAGGCCCAATAAAGAGGCTAGGAGACGCATAGAAGAGGGAAAGGGATCACTGTTTTAAGAATTCTTGTTAAGGGAGTGCCAGTGGTATCCTTACAAGAATAGAGTTAGGCCCAAGTTCATATATCTCAGATGGCATGATTTAAAAAAAAAAAAAAAGATATTATTTTATCAAAAGAAAAAGATATCTAAATTAAGAAGAGTACTGAGTAGGATTTTTCATAATTTGTTTTAACAACCCCCTACAACAACCTTCAAATCCTTGAAATAACGATACGAGCCTTATTATCGCTAAACACAATATAAGAAAGTTTGGTAAAATGAGAAAATTTATATCCAATTTAATGAATCTCAGTGCATTTCTCGTTGCTATAAGAATAGATAGATATGACAGAATTGAAATTCATGAAAATTTTCACAATCGACTTAAACGATTATTAACAAATTTATATATATATATATATATGCAAGAATGAAATGAACAAGCTTGCTTAGTCGATTTATCTGATTGGCTTGATTTGTAGGGTATTATCTCAGTCCGAGAGTTTATTCAGTGCGCACTCGAAGAATAACGACTGTGGTTCCTCCGTCATTTAAAAAAAAAAAATGAAATGAACGTTTGGTACAATTTCTTTAGTTCTAAGATGGTGCGAGCATGTGGGTGACATCATATCATTATTTAAGTGGTTCGTCATTAACTCATGATTGCAAGATAATTTAAAATTAATTTAATAACGATAGATTATGAATAGTTGAGAATACTGTAACAATTCTTTTGTAACAACATAATAATATATAATTAAAAGGAATAAAATTGTGTACCCAACACCATAATTAAATAGCAAAAGGTGTGCTTAGACTTTTATTTATTTATTTATTTATTTGGGTAATAGAAGTGTAGTTAGTATTATGTGGCTATATTAATCGTCGAACTAATTAATTGCCAACTTAAAGTCACATAAAAATTGGGTATGATTTTAAAATAATACTATTTATAACGAAGACTATCAGTAGTTGCCCTACGTGATATATACATAACAGCTTGTTATTTAATTGATTACCGATAGTTTTCACTATAAATTGCATTATTAATGATTTTAACATCCACATTGTCCAAATTTACATATTTAAATAGATTAGAGAGTCGACCCTAATTTCCGATTAAAAATATGGGCTTTAGGGTTTTTGTCCAAGAGGAAATTACACCGTCCGAGGGTTTTCAAGTTCACTGTATATAAATCATGGACCCAACTTTTCTAATCAAATATCCGGTATAACCCTAACTCTAAAATTGAAATTCATTTCACTCCATCCTTCATTCTCTCTCTCTCTCTCTCCCCCCCTTCCGTCTTTCACTCAGTCTCTCTCTACCCTCTCCATCACACGAGCAACCATCGTCGCCGAAGACCAAAACGTCATAGAGATAACCTCTTTCAAACGTGTGAGCGTCGTTGCACAGTAGCTTGCAACGCCAATGTCGCTGCAGATACCTCAAAGAGCGATGATGATTGCTGTCACTCGAAGCAAATGCGACGTATAATCGGACCTCGACGTGGCCGTCGATTGGTTGTTGTAGCAAATTCATGACCTCGACCTTCTTCTACGTTCAGTAAGTAGTGATTTTGGGTGTTATCTCTTTCGCTTTTCGATCTGTAGGTAGTAATTTTGGGGTTTTGTTGGTTATATTTTCAGATCTTGACCGTGGTTGTGGTGGTGACGTTGGTAGTAGAATCTGATTGTTGGTGGTTTTGGGGGAGGGATGTGGTTGTAATGTTGGTTGTGGTGGTGTTCGTGGAAGTGGTGGTAGTGGTTGTGGTGGGACGCCGTAGGATAGGAGTGTTTGTTTTTCGTGGTTGTGGTGGTGGTGCAGTGATGGTGGTGTTTCTGGTTAGTGGTACTGTGGGTGTAATGGTGTTGGTGAGGTTGGAAGGTGATGTATTGTTGGATGTGTTTTGAGGTGTTTTCTGGCTGTCGTGGTAGTCCTGGTGGTTGTAATAGTTTCTGGTGATGGTTGTGTTGTTGGTGTTGGTGGTGTTGTTGTGGTGGTGGATGCGGTAGTGGTGTCGGGATCGAATGTTGGATGTCTGTGACCAACTATATTGTCACGTCTGTGAGACCGTAAACTGTGACATTAAAATTCGATCATTTGTCATTAAAAAAATAATTCGTGACTATCAAATTTGAAAATATGTGACATGTGACCTATAATTTTTTGAATTTGTGACCAATGATGTGAGCTGTGACCTACAAATTTTTTTATCTGTGACCAATGAAATAGCTTGTGACTCACAAAATTTTTGAGTTGTGACCTCAAAATATTTTGTTTGACCTACAAAATTTTTGATTTGTTACCTTGAAATAATCTTTAATAAATTAATTCGATGATATGTAACCAATAATTATGAATCTGTGGCCATTAATCGTGTAACTGTGACTTTATTATATTTAATTAATAAATTTTTCAATTAATTATACTGAAACCTGAATTTTGAATTTTTAAACTTTATACCAGATTTGTGAATTGATATAAACAATATCCCCGAGTTGTAATTTTTTCCCTTTGTCCAAATCACCCAAAATTATAAGTCCTAACGATGTTTATGGTCTTATTCATTGGGCCTAACGTAGGCATTTGAAACCCATCATTTTGATTAGAACTAGATGGGCCCAAAATATAAATCCAGAATTTCGAAATCTTCCGGGTCATTACTCAAACTGTGTAGCCTTCGATGAGTTTCATGAACTGCAGTGACTGATAGTTCGTCAGGTTCTTCTTGCACTTTCAGTTAATTTTTTCTTCTCATGTTAGCATATTAAAATTTTTACTTCTCACGCTTGCATATTTTTAATATTTCCTTTCTACTGTGTGAAATTAATTGGTGGATTAATTTAATATTAGATTTGATTAATTTTTGGCTGTGATCTATGATGCATTTTGTGATTTTGGTTAAATAACAGCACTAACTGGAAAATCCTAAATATTGAGGTTTTCTAAACTTTCCTCGCTAAGTTTGTGCTAAAATGGTTGTATTTAGCTCATCATCATGCTTCAGGAGTCTTCAGAAAAATTGGAAATTTTGCAGATTCGTCATTTTAAGGAAAAAAAAAATTCCAAATAATGATTTCTTTACGTTTTATGCCTGCTCATTGCATTTTTTTCTTTTCTTCTCTTTCATTCTCTATAGCAACGTGATTGTGTGGTATGATTACATAGAGGTTCGATTGAGCTAAAACGTAATTTCGTTGTCCTAGATCTACTTTTAATCGTGTTATGGTTTAGGTAGACAAAGGATGCAGTGTGGGTCATACTGTTTTTTGTGAAATTGTTATGACACGGAGAACATTGGAAGGAAACCCATAATCGTGTCTGTTCCTAAAACTATCTCATTGCTGCATTACACACTCATGTTTGGCATGCTGAATTTTTCTCACTCTTATGTTTTTCAGAGGCCTGGTTTTTTCAATCTCCAATTGCTCTTGACTGAAGGGGTGACAGTCAATAGTGTATGGTCATGTTGGGTGGCAGCTCCAATGTCCAGTCTAAGTGGAAGCGCAAGTATGAATTTCTTTCAATTGTATTACATTTCTAGAACTAACAATTGGAGAGGGAAGGGGAAGTTCACCTCATTTCTGCCTTTCTTCTTTATTTTCAAAATAGGTCAGCAGTAACACTTGCATTGACTGTTCTCACGAGTTCACAAGCAATTCTAATTGTCTGGTCAAAGAGGGCTGGAAAGTACGAGTACAGTGTCACTACTGCAAATTTTTTGGTGAGCGGATGACATTTTCTAATTTGAGATATATTGATCACTGTTTCTTACTTCATTTTAGATCATTTTATTGGCAGGTTCTGGCTTCTATAGAAGAATTTATTAACTTAAACCATTTATTTTCTTCTTGTAATTAGGTAGAAGCTTTAAAATGTGCACTATCACTTGCAGCCTTGGCAAGAATCTGGAGGAACGAAGGTGTTACTGAGGATAACAGGTCATTCTTTTCCTTCCACAAGTTACACATTTTTCCCTATTATTATGAAACAGATAGAATTGCTGACTCTTTGCATTTTGGACATATATATTCATCTTATTTGGAAAAAGAGTCCTGAACAACATTGTTTTTCGTTTTTCTTTTTCCTTTTTTGCCTAACCTACCGAGTTACACTAGTGGGTAGAAAGAAAAAAATTGGAAAAATCTTAAACTTGAAGATACTACCTCCCTTAAAAAGCGTGGATGAACTAAAATCAACAAAAAATATGGTAAATTCTTTACAACATAATATTAACATCATACTAATAAAAATTGATGCATTTCACTATTTCAGTGTTCGCAGATGTTTAATTTGGTCCTCCAGGTCTCAGTGATTTTTCTTGATAACTTTGACAGATAGTTAATTATTATGTGTAGATTAAATCTTATGCATCCAACCCTTATGACTTGTGAAAAGTGATGTCCCAAATTTTATCTACTGTTACATTGAGTATTGCTTTTAATTTTCTGCAATTGTCTAATTTGCTCGAGTTTCTGTTTCAAATTTGTTCTCAGTTCGTTGTTTAATTGAATGCAATCCTTTGTTTCTCAGTCTCACAATTATGTGCTTATATTAGGTTAAGTACGACGGTAGATGAAGTTAATGTTTACCCCATTCCAGCAGCTCTTTATCTCATCAAGAATTTACTTCAGGTACGTTTTTTTATTCTTGTATGTTACAAAATTCCTTTGCGGTCTAATTCTTGGTTGCAGTATTGCTTTCTAAATATGTTTGTTTGTGCCAGTATTACATCTTTGCATATGTTGATGCCCCGGGATATCAAATATTAAAGAATTTAAACATCATCAGCACAGGCGTGTTATACCGTATCATTCTTAAGAAACAGTAAGTCACTTCACAATTTACATCTGTTGAATTTGGACTTCAAATAGAGAAATGCTCTCTATATCATTATCATATTCATTGAGGATTTTAACTGGTACAATTGTGAAATTATTTTGGTGGCATGACTCGCATGTATGAGTCAGCTCCTCTTGTCTTTTTGGATGAGAATGTGGTGAAGGAAGGCTGACACAGACTCTATAACAGAAAATGATTAAACACATTTGTTTTCTTTCAGGTTGAGTGAGATCCAATGGGCGGCTTTCGTTTTGTTGTGTGCAGGATGCACCACAGCACAACTAAACACTAAGTAAGAATGTTTTGGCCGTGTATTAATCTTGTTGTCTCACAGTGTAACTTTAGTTTTCATTTTTTTTTTTGATAGGTGTAACTTTAGTGTTCATATTCTTCCCTGTGTGCGCACTGGACTACAGTTTTATATGCCTTACTGGGCAACGTGAAAAGAGAGCCTTTCTATCGTATTCTGATTTTGATTTCCTTCTCAGTTCTCTCTGCGTGCTTCCCCTTTTGTGAATCCCGACCATATTTATTTTCTTTTCTTTATTTTTACGGAAGGACATTTTCTTTTCAGTTCTGATCAAGTTCTGCAAACACCTTTTCAAGGTTGGCTGATGGCAATTGTGAGTTGCTGAGCTGAAAATGAGATGGCATAATCTAATCTAATGATAAGACTATAATTACTCATCAAAAGGAAGATCCCCCTTTAAGGTTTTTATAAGTCAATGCTTAAACTTACTCTTAGAAATTCATTTCAGGTCATGGCCCTTCTAAGTGGCTTTGCTGGAGTCTACACTGAGGTAAATCTTTTCCTAGATATAAAGCTATGATTTTTGCCAGAAAGGAAAGAAAAAATCCGTAAATGTTTTGAGTTTCTCGGCCATTATTGTTCCTTTCAAATCGTCTTATTTTTAAGCTAATGAATACTATTATTAGAATTCTCATGGGCATCTGTTTTAAAAAAGTGCCAAAATAGAGTGGACTCAGTTTACAGTTTTTTGATAACTGATGAGTTTTCTTCTGTTCTGTAGGCTATCATTAAAAAGCGACCTTCGAGGAATATTAATGTGCAGAACTTTTGGTTGTATGTATTTGGGATGGCTTTCAATGCTATCGCTATACTGGTTCAAGATTTTGATGCAGTCATGAACAAGTAAATTGAGACTATTTTTTGCTTCTGTTATTTCTCTTATTTATGTCAATGATACAGGGTGTTCATTGTACAAAATTTCATTCATTTCTTGTTGCATCATATGATCAATACTAGTCAAAACATATAAAATTATTTTTAGATGGGAATTGGAAATCTGCAACGAATATATCAGTTTTTGTTACTACATTTAGGAATTTCTCCTTCTAATATAACAAAATTTATGGCTTCCAGATACATCATTTTTGCAATGTTGTTTTTCCTTGAGACCTTCAGTAAGACATGCTTAAGGTTGATTGTGTAGCTAATGCTTATCACAAAACAGCATATAAGTCTTTCAGGCAGGTTTCCTTGTAACTTCTTAACAGAGCAAACTCAATTTGTAATTAGATATTCTCATCTAAATTATAACGTAAAGATTACAGTTTGTTATTCTAGATTAATGATTCTACAATTTTTATACATGACATGTAAGTTAATCTTTTGTTCCACAGGGGATTCTTCCATGGATATTCGTTGGTTACAGTTCTCATGATTTTAAACCATGCTCTGAGGTACTTATAGCCTTTTTTTATTGAGCTGGATCGACTTGCCTTACTGTTAGAATATTGAATTATCATCAGCTATGTGGCAAAAAGAAAATTGTGACTCTTCTTTAAGTAAATATGGGATTTTCTGCAACTGGTAAGTTTGACTTTGAAATGATAGAGAAAAACTCAACGATGAAAATTTATTGATTGTGTACTCTAACTTGGTTGAATTCCCCTGAGAATCCAGAAAAATGAAATACTTGGCCTTGGATGATTTCAGTAGGTTGGTGAAGTGGAACTGAACATGTGATCAAAAGAATAAAAAATATGGCATTTTACACATGGCAGGATTTGGAGCGAAAATTATATTATTCTTAGGCAAAAATTTAAGTGCATGTATGGTAGGTGATTGTATTTTAATCACTTCTTGTCAACACACTTTTTATCCACACATGTCATAGGACTCACATCTATTACCCACTTATTATCCACACATTTCATAGGGCCACAACATGCACAAAAGTTTGTAAATCGGCTCCTTTCTTCAATAATAATAATAAAAAAAATAAAAAATTGCACCTAATCCATATCATGCGGCCTTTGCAAAACTTTCTTATTAAATAAACAATCTAGCTTCCATTTGATTTCATCCATTCCATAGAAGGTCTTGTTCTTTACTGTTAGCGTCTTCTCTTGAATGGTTCTTATTCTTGGTCATTTGTGTGTGGGATATTACTTGTGTATCCATAGTGTTATGTCTACAGAAGTTACTTGGAATTAGTTATAAACCTACTGCTGTTTGGTGCATTGAGCTAACTCCCTACCTTGGTTACTTGTAAACATGAAATGCCATTATTCATAGTTATATGGCTGGAGTATGTACTGGGGATGACTAACTGGACAACAATAACTTTGGGCACAAATTGCTGAGCATTGTTCATTATTTACAAATAACATACCCTGCATATATTATTTTCGAAAATATGGAAATATCTTCAATTAATATTGTTTCTTTGAAATTGTGTTGATGCTAACTCCCCTAAGTTGAATTTTAAAGTTAATTACACGTGAATTCAGGTTAATTTATCCCTTTGTTTCTTCTATAATACATTGATATTTTCCTTTACAATAAGCGTTTGTGAAAAATATTTACATGTTTGTATCTTAAATAATATACTTATATGTCAATGCAGTGGTATTGCAGTATCAATGGTCATGAAGTATGCTGACAACATTGTGAAGGTAAAGTCTTATGGCACATATGCATTTAGTCCAAGTCTGCATCAATTTATTAGATTGCACTTGGTGTCATGATTTGTTGCTTCTATGGGGTGGATCACCTGCCAATTCTTTGGGGGACAGATTTAATATGCAGTAGGAAAGTATCATGAAGTCGTCATACAGATCAAATGTCAAAGACAAGAATGAGATATTTTGTTAAGTGAGAGGGCTACCAAAAGTCAATACAATAAACATAGTTGAAGAAATACCCAAAAAACCTAACGTCTATACAAAATTGTCCATAACCACGTATCCTCAAATGTTGTTGCCACAGCCAAAGGCATCAGGTCTTTTATCCTTTTTGCATTATTTTAGTGTGAACAAACCATCCAAGTACCAGCCAGCTGCATCATGACAGAACTAGTAATAGAATAAATTCTTTACGAGGACTTAAAATTTTTCTTGCCAAATTCAGTTTCACCAAGCACTTGATGAGAGTTGCAGCTGAATGAGTTGAATAGAAGAAGTAAGGAGTGAATTCCTTAACAGCTGATTGGTCTAGCTCAATCTCAATAATTTCTTTCATTCACTGTACTGCCATAAGTTAACTCATCTCCAGTGAACAATTGGAGTGTAACAGCAACAAAACCTTATTTGCAACAAATCCAGGGTAGGCAAACTGTAGAACGTATGCCGGAAAAATAAAGAAATAAAAAATTGGAGTGACATTATCAAACAATCATAGTGGGTGTTTCTTCTGGCAGTTATCCAAACGTAAATGGAAAAAGGAAGGCCTATTTCTGATGCTAAGTCCTGGGTGTCAACGTATTACAAATAAAATTGTGTATATAGTTTGCATTAATTTAGAAATGTTAATAGATATTGCATTACTATTGCAGGTGTATTCTACTTCAGTTGCAATGCTGCTGACCGCGGTGTTATCTGTTTTTCTCTTTGGATTTCGTCTCTCTCTTGCCTTCTTTCTTGGTTCCACGTGAGTGCTTGTTAAAATTTCAGTTCCAACATTCACACACTAAGTCAGCATGCTTTGGAATATGATGTATACACTTCGTTCGACCTGTAAAAGAATGAATTCAGAATGTCTGACTAACGTTATTCTGCCTTCACAGTGTTGTATCTGTTGCAATATATTTACACTCCATCGGGAAGCTCTAGAGATAGTGAAACATTTCAGTTTCTCAGCCTTGTTTGTGTCGGTGTAAAGGCTGATAATTTTGCTTTTCATTGTTCATTGATTCTGTATTCTTCATCAATTTATTATAGTTAAAAATATCCTTGGGACTGGACTTAGCATACAACCTGGTTTGTTTGACTCTCAACCAAGTTAAGTGATTAGATATATGTCACATAAGATGACTACGATAGTCGTTCACTATGAATAACATTACACTTAAAAAAATTATTTTGTTAGAATTTAAGTATTTATAAGATATGGGTTTTACGAAAAGTGTAGTTGTGAATTTTACGAAACGTGTGGAGTAAAAGAATGTTTGCCGAGCTTAGATTATAATTTCAAACATGCTATAGTTTTTAGCTTTTTTCTCTGTCCTTATTAAATATGACATACATTTTTGTAACACATTGTTTTATGTAAATTTATAAAAACTTTGGACACTCTCCTTATAAAATAAACGAGTGTTGTTACAAATTTACAATTTGATTATATTCTAATCTAAATGCGTCCAAAGTTTTAAATTTTGTATCATCTATTTCTTACCATAAGTTCATTAGTAATTTTAGAAAGATAATATTGTGTTTAACAATATGTGTGGATAATAAATGAGTAATATTTGTAAACAAATCGTTAAAAATTATTGTTTAATTGATCGAGAACTTATAAGCTATTTTTAGAGAACGACGAACGGATGCTATGTTTTAATAAAAAACAAAATAAATAAATAAATAACGATATCAGAATTTTATTTTATTAGGTGCACCCGCGAAAATTAAGTACGAAAATAACTTATTCACAAGGGCGTTCAAGGAAATCTTCCCGAATAAACTGTAAACAGAATAAAAAATTCTCCGAGATTCAGTTTCTTCCTTCCAACGTTAGACTGTGTCAGCAAACCTTCGATAAACAAATACTCCCGCTCTCTCCTCTCTCACATTTTCAATCCACAATGCACACTATCAATTACAGAGATTAAAGAATTTTGATTTATTGCATCTTATTTTCTTTACTGTAATATAATCAAAAAATACGCGTAACTAGAGGGAAAGCAAAAAGCCTTTTGATTCTGAACAGAACGGGAAATTCAGATCTTTATAACAAAATTCCATTACGATTCTTTTGTATGTAATAATGAAAACTGAGAGAATTATAGCGTTATTTCTTGTAGGGATGGTGATTAGTCGTGGGCGAGTCCAAGCCCACAATTCGGCAGGCCAGAGGATCCACACGCTGCTCTCTGTAGAGTGCCGGAACTACTTTGATTGGCAGACAGTAGGGCTCATGCACAGCTTTCGTAAGGCCCACCAGCCCGGCCGCATTGCCCGGCTACTAAGCTGCACAGAGGAGGAGAAAAGGAGTTGCAAGGGCATGCATTTGGCCCCCACATTTGAGGTTCCCTCCATCAGCAAGAGTGGTGATTGGTACTGTATTTGCATTTTTAGTCTTTTTGGCATTTTGTGAAGACTATTATTCAAATTTCAAGAGGGATTTCGTTTGATCATTTGTGTTTATTCATTATTTAAATAAAGAGGTTGCTTCAATTTTTTATTTGTTTTTAATTGTGAGTCGCGATAGGTATCCTGCAATAAAACCAGCTGAGATTGTGCATTGGCTAGAACATAGTAAAGATGCAGAAAACGTGGATTGGGTAGTACTTTTAGAAGCAGACATGATCATTCGAGGCCCAATTGTACCGTGGGAACTTGGTGCTGAGAGAGGCAAACCTGTTGCTGCATGCCAAGGGTAAGATATGTTATCCTAGGTATTAGGTCTGTTTATGGATTTATTTAGCAGGGACCAAGGTTAGAATTTGACAGGATTGGTAGATTTTCAAGAATTATGGAATGTGTTTGTTTTCTGAATTTCGTTCTGTTCTTCAATCTCATTAGTTCATAGCAGAAGAAAAATTATTGCTTACAACTCGAATGATTTTACGTCATCTTAAAACTGATGCTGTTGTTGGCCGTGCAATTGTGAATAAATTTTTACTTAATGAATATGTTTGATTGCTTATGTATACCGTATTATTTCACATTCATCAATTTCTGATAATGAAGAGGGAACTCTGTATGTGTGCTATTAAAGATCTACGAAATATTATTTGCATGTTAATTGACAGCAATGCTAAATCATGAGGAGATACTGCATCAAAATCTCCATGCACTTCATATATTCATAGAAACTATATTTCTTGCTCAGATACTTGGTTGGATGTGACAATGTTCTTGCTAAATTGCACACAAAGCGTCCTGGACTCTGTGACAAGGTCAATGGGCTTTTAGCCATGCATATTGATGATCTTCGAGCATTAGCACCCTTGTGGCTCTCGAAAATTGAAGAAGTACGAGAAGATAGAGCCCATTTGTCTGCGAATCATTCTGGTGACATATATAGAATGGGGTGGATCAGTGAAATATATGGTGGAGCGTCCGAGGTAAATTGTATCGTTCATTCTTCTTTAACTTATACTTTCCAATTTTTCACCCTACTGTGTATGTACATATAGTGTGTATTTACTAGACAAGACTGAACAGTATAATAAACAAGATTTTAGCTTCTTTTTTCGTATACTGTCCAGTACTATCTATTCATTTCTATCCAATACTTGAAGTTCCTTCTCCTATACAGATACATAAACAGGTTAATATACACGAATATGAATCAGTGGTTTGATTTATCAGGTGGGACTCAGCCACAAGATAAATGCTAACTTGATGATTTACCCTGGGTATATTCCCCAGGAGGGCATTAATCCCATTCTTTTGCAATATGGCCTGCCATTTAGTGTTGGAAAGTGGTCGTTCAGTAAATTAGATCATCACGAAGACAATATTGTGTATAATTGTGGGCATCTCTTTCCTGAACCTCCTTATCCTAGAGAGGTAAATAAAGTGTTTGTTGAAATGAATGAATTGAGTTTTAGAATGTCTCCAGTCGATATACTTCATTTCCCCTGAAGTATATATCATTTGTACAACCTTGCCCTCGATCTCTCTTGCCAAATGGTTGTAATACCTTTTAGTACATTATTTTGCAGGTAAAAGAAATGGAAGCTGATTCGAACAAAAGGCCGGTACTATTACTTAGCATAGAATGTATAAACACACTGAATGAAGGCCTATTGTTACAACATGCAGCACATGGTTGCCCTAAGCCCAAGTGGTAGCAATACTTGAGTTTCTTGAGGAGCAAAACATTTGTGGAACTAACTCGGCCCAAATTATGGACTCCTGGAAGTCGTCAAATCATGGAAGTTAATGTACAGTCAGAAGATGATGGCGAACCTGCAAAGTTGCACCCAAAAATTCATACCATTTTCTCAGCAGAGTGCTCCACTTACTATGATTGGCAAACTGTGGGGCTCGTCCATACTTTCAACTTGAGTGGGCAGCCTGGAAATATCACAAGGCTACTTAGCTGTACAGAAGAGGACTTGAAGCAATATAAAGGACTTGATATAGCTCCCATCCATTATGTTCCATCCATGAGCCGGCATCCAGTAACTGGTGATTGGTAATGTCATTTGCGTTTGCTGAAATTCTCGATCAATTATATGAAGCTTTGCCTATGTTAATTTGAACATAAAAGATTTCAAAACTTATGAATGTATTTAAACCAAAAAAAAAAAAAAAAAAGAAGGTGAGAGAGAGAGAGAGAAAGGAAAACACAAACAAAAGAAAACCTAGAGCTATCCCCTTTTTTCCGTTTTGGAAGTCATTTAATTAAACCACTTTCTCTCTGAACCAATTGAATGACTTTTGCTAATAATGCATTTAGTGTGTTTGGTAGGCAGGACACGACAATATAATCAACAAGATTGTATGTTCTTTTTCTTCATTAATACTATCTAGCAAGTATCCAATCTTCCCTATCAAATGTGCTATTGAAGACCACTGAGCCTCTTAACAGATGGTAATGCTTGGGTTTCATTATTGGCACATCAGGTATCCTGCAATGCATAAACCAGCTGGAGTTGCACATTGGCTGGATCATGCAAAGATTGATGCTGAGTACATAGTAATCCTTGAATTTGACATGATAATGAGAGGACCAATAACACCACGGGAGTTCAATGCTTCTCCTGGCAGGCCCGTTGCAACTCCTTATGAGTAAGAACGAAATATTTGTTTTATCCCTTCAATTCCGTATAGAAGTTTCTCTAGATTTACATGTTCCAAATCTGTGGATGCGTTTTTTATGGGATGTCGCTGAAGTACCATGAGTTAGTCACACGGTTTCTTTCATATGCTATGTCAGCTACCTGATTGGCTGTGACAACGAGCTAGCAAAAATCCATACCCATAATCCCGATGCTTGCGACAAGGTTGGAGGCGTGATTATAATGCATATAAATGACCTCAGGAAATTGGCTTTACTTTGGCTTCATAAAACTGAAGAGCTCCTGGCTGATAGAGTTCGTTGGTCGAAAAACATGACTGGGGACGTTTATGAATCTGGTTGGATTAGCGAGATGTATGGTTACTCTTTTGGTGCTGCAGAGGTATTTTTGCTCTTTATTGATTATTGGAAAATGTTAAACCATTTAGTGTAAGGAAGATTAGCAGACGTATAATGCAAGATGTTGATAAAATATTTTTTTACGATAACTTGTAACTTATATTACTATTGTCCGTGCAGTTGAATTTGCGGCATGTCATAAGCAAAGAGATCTTAATATACCCAGGATATGATCCTGTACCTGGTGTCAAGTACAGAGTATTTCACTATGGCTTGGAATTTAGGGTGGGTGACTGGAGCTTCGATAAAGCGAGATGGAGACGTGGATTTGGTTAATAAATGCTGGCCTATGTTTCTTGACCCTCCTGATCCATCGACCCTTTGTCAGTCTGATGAGGGTGCATTACAGCGTGGCTTGCTCAGCATAGAGTGTGCAAATAAATTAAATGAAGCTCTACAAGCACACCATGAGAGAGAAATGCCCGAATTTTACTTCCTTGTCCAGTCCTAATCACAAGACCCCGGTTTCCTCTTTGTTTTCTCCGAATCGAGAGACACATGATCCCCGGTCCTTGCAACCAGCAAGTCGAGAGACCTCTAGTGAAATTACAACTTCACGGAAATTAGGAAAGTTTGATGAAGGCTCGAGACATTATTCCAAGCCAGAGAATGTATCTCAGGAATTAATGCTACTTTCAGTTACCAATCTAACGTTCACTTCCATGAGATTTTGAATCATTGTGCTTTGGGCAGCTGCTGTCTTTGGTTTTGTGGCATTGATGTCAGCAATGCTTTCAAGACGTAAAGGGCAGAAAACAAGAGGTAGAAGTTTTAAGACAAAGAGAAGAACCACGTACTCAGGTTTGTGGGACGTGAATGGGCATGATCAACATCTCCGTAATGCTGAAATATCCTAGAGAGGGGAACGAAATGGCGTCTGGCGATGAGAGCCCGACATACAGTTCTCTTGTGACGAAAAGAAAGTCATACTGGGGAGTGGTCCAGTTGCTGCCAATGGTCGAGCTGAAATGTGTCTCTACTCTAGATTCAGCTCAATCCGCTTGGATAATTCTTGAATCACAATTTGGCATTATCCACTAATCAACCACAGTTTTGTTGATGTTTGATGTTAGATAAAGTACTCCAGGAGTTTAAAACAGCGTCATTGAATTAATTGTGAGACAACAGGATAAGCAATTGATGTTCGTGGGTTTTTCTTTTCTTTCTGTAGCTTCTGTGATTTGTTTTGTGTTTTCTTGTACTCTGTAATGCAAATCCATTTGTGTTCATATGAGATTTTTTTTCCAAAACATTTTTTGTCTACTCTAAGAAAAGCTTGGTACAAAATTATGTTGTAACCAGCAGTTGAATCCCATAATCAAGATCGAGATGTTATTGCGTATGTCACATTGTTCAAAGAAAGTGTACGTTCTTCATTCCATAATCTCTTACTAATTATCTCCTTAAATGGATTTATGTATGCTATTTTTTTACATTTAAGCGTATGAAAACAGTTTATAAGACTTATTTGCTACATAATTGAAAGGTCGAATATTCATTTGATACGGCATCAATATAATTTCTACGGAATATTAGACGAGGCCATGTATTATGCCTTCTTTGAAGTGATAAGCTCCTTCTAGATGGGCAGCCAGCACACAGGGCCATGATTTTTTGAAAACTGATATAGCAACAAGAAGTGGTTCAGCCCATTACATCCTTAACCTCTGAAAGCGACTTCAACCAACATTCTTTTGAGCAATATGCGCTTTATACACAACAGATTATAATCCCGCTTTTAGTTTCTCTTTAAAATTTAAAATCCAACGTTACACATTGTTGATATTGTTAACCAAATCCTAATTCACATTAATTAATTAACAGAAAATTTGAATGTTACAGTACTTGATTAATTAAGACCCTGTTTGGCCCCCCATTAAATTACATTTCATTTTTCTCTATCATATTTTCAACTACATAAATCGAAAACTTTTACTTCTTTTTCAACTATCTATTTTCAATAAAACACTATTCCACACATTCTCATTTCCAAAAAATTGGGGTCAAATAGGGGCTAAGTCATGCGGGACGCATCCCAATCTACAAAAAGAGTGAAAAAGTTCAATCATGCTGCATAGTCCTACTCAATAACAAAAAAAATTTTCCAAACAACAAATGATAGTTTTTCATTGAAAATTGGAAAAAAGCAACACAAAAACACTCAATCACATAATATCAAGTCAACCTATTTTTTATCCTTGTTTTTTTCCCCATTTGATTAGCATTTCTCAAAAAAAGTTTCTCAATGTATGGCCTACTCATACAACGTTTGCCTATTGCCTTTCAATTTGAATTTCAAATTTAAGGCTAATACAAAAGTTGTCTTGTTTGTGTCATAAAAAAAAATTAATAATAAAATAAAAATAAAAAAGCAGACCAAAGTTCAGATTTTTCTGGGATTTGTAATTTTCAGTTGTTGCTGTGTTGTGGGCTTCTCATTCTACAAACTTGCAAACAGAATGGGAGACTCGGCTTGTCTTATGCCTGGCTTCTCTTATGCTTCTGCCATACCCAACGAAGCCAAACAGGTATAATACAAATATCCCACTTCTTTTTTTTCAAAATTTTCAAGCCTGAAATTCAATTTGCAAATAATTACTTATTTTAATAAACTGACTTATTTTTCGATAGAAATTGTTGTTTTATGTTTGTTGTTCTTGAATGCTGACAAATTCTGCTTTTAATAATGGATTGAAAAATGCTGGGCTTCTTGGAAAAAGAGGACAAATTGTTTTGTAAGTTGTATGTTTAAAAGATTTACGTTCATCGATTAGATGGGCTATGAATTACAGGGGAACCCAATGCACGCTCTTGGGGAGTCAATTTCGTTTGGGAGGTTCACGTCGGAATCTCTGTCTTGGGAAAAATGGTCCTCCTTTTCATCCCACAAGCGTTACGTAGAAGAAGCCGAGAGATATGCGCAGCCGGGATCAGTTGCGCAGAAGAAGGCTTTCTTCGAAGCTCATTACAAGAGAATTGCTGCTCAAAAAGCAGCAGCAGCAGCATTGGTTGATCAAGAAAATGCTGCCAATAACGTTGAAACTAAATTCAGTGGAGATGATGCTAATGATTTGCAAGAACTAGGGGACGAAGTTAAGAAGCCTATTGGAAAGAAAGATTTAGGACTCTGTGCTGGTGACCATGGTGCAATTGCTGAATCAAATGAAGTGGAAACTGGGAAAGATGGTTTAAATGGTGTAAAATATTTCTCGGGGGAGACTCTGATGAGGGAGAATTCATCTAACAAGATTTATAATGTTGTGAATCAAGAACCAGCTTCTGGATCAGAGACTAGTGGAACACCTCAGATGGAGAAACCTCTATTGAAGGTAATGGTCCGACCCGATCCCATCTAATATTGTGCACTGTTTTAGTTTAATGTTTTCGAACTGATATTTTTTTGTTAACTCGTCAGAATTCCGTCCAAAACGAAGATAATCCATCAGTGACAAGCAAGAAAAGATCAGCTCTTTCCTCATTCAAGTCATCTATTCACCATAAAACGTCTAAAGTTCCATTCACACCAGCCAAGCCAATTACTCCTCATTTCAGGAAAGAACACAATGTCACAAGGAAGTCTAATGTAGACTCCTTGGATAAAAACAAGTCATCTCAGAAATCTCTGCGCACGTTGATTAATATGGTTCCTGATAGAGAACCAGATAAAGTACCAATTCCTTCGAACGAAAGAACTGAATGTTCAGGCGTTCCTCCAGTTTCGTCCAAGTCACGAAAAGATTGTGAGACTCCTCTGAAGACTCCAGTTGGGGTACCTATCAATTTACTGTGGCTCAATTACACAGATTTTTCTTTCTTTGGACTGTTTGAGTAGAAAATTAATTCTTGTCATCTTCCGCAGGTTGCTAAATATGGGATGTCGAAATATAACGCAGCAACGCCTCGATCAGAAGATAAAAGGTACAAGAAATTAATTAACATCATACTGTTATCAGTTGACAAGTAAAAACTAAATTGATAATGTCTATAACCTTCAGGAACAAAACACCAATTGATCCCTCAGCTTTAGGAAGCAAAACAAGCGGCCCAAAATGGCACATTTTATCAGCCGTGTAAGTTCAAATGATGAGCAAATCTCTAGTTATTACTTGATTTTTAGAACTAAAGTTTGAAATAAGAAGATATTGAGACAACAAAATTTTCTTTCATATCCAAATTCGATATTGGTTCTTAGTGTCACTTTATACAAATTCTGTATATCTTCTCTCTCTTTCGAAATTGTAGTACTTAGTTCTGACGCCGATATGATTGTATTTTAGTTGCCCCAAGTCATTGACGGGCCATCGGAACAAATTACAATCACCTACTTTATCCACTCCTTTTATTCTGAGAACTGAAGAAAGAGCTGCCAGAAGAAAACAGGCAAGGGTGCTCGTTTTCTAGTCTCATTCTTGAAGTATTTTATGACTTTAACAGTGTGCTCATTTTCCTATGTCCCAACAATTTCAGAAACTCGAGGAAAAATTCAATGCTAAGGAGGCGTCAAAGGTGCAACTACAAACAAAACTAAGGGTTATACTCTTGATGCCAGCTTTTTTTCTCTCCTGTGCTTAGTGTTTAAATTTAGTTCGTGATCGATCACTGTTGTATGATTGAAGAGTCTTTTATACATGCAGGAAAAAGCAGGAAATGAATTTAGAAAATTGCGTCAAAGCTTTTGCTTTAAAGCTCGTCCGCTACCTGATTTTTACAAGGAACGAGACATACCAAAAAAACAGATGAAAAAGGTACCTCATTCTGTTAAACTTTAGAGATGTTTAGACTCACTGACTTGATTCCCCGGTCGTTATTGCTGCAGAGTTCAGTAACACATCCAGAGGCAATGAGAAAAAACTATTCAGGCAAGAAGCTAAGCACTGTCTCAATGCCACCGCCTCCTCCCCCTCCAACATTTTCGACTAAGAAGAATGGTACTTCCAAGAATGTATCGAAAAAGAAAATTGATTTTCTTACTTCACAACCAGAAAGGATCAATCATGAGAACAAAAGCCCAAATATTCAGCAATCATGAAAACATGTGCACGTCTTTTTATCTTCCAGGAGAACCCTGCACAATTAGGCATTGTCGTTCGTGGAGGATCTCGTCCGGTTTGGAAGAGCTAGTAATTCTATCGTTTGGAGTAAGCAAAGATTGTAGTTAAAAGTTTCTTTGTGCACAAATTTATGTCAAAAAGTTAATGCCTAATTTGTATCCGTGAAACCCCATGTTAATGAAATTATTTCGTCACTAAGCATACGTAAATGTATAGCAGCGAACATGATTAAGCACTACATTAGACAAGATTACGTCTAACAGGAGATTATTTAATTGTTGTAATAAAAGAAATCATTTCATACAGCAACAAACTCGTTCAAGAAAGTATAGAATATGATATTTAGTTAATTATTTTGCACCACAGAAATTACAACTTGATTGACTTAGAGCACAATTCATCAGACTTCAAATGGAAAACATTTCTTCCACCAGGCACCAACCCTCATCTCCATCTAACGGTTACATTACAAATCCCACTTCACAGAAAGTCATTTGATCATCATTATCATATTCATCTATTTCTTCAATTACAACATCATTAGCATCAGATGATCAATCAAGAACACCATCAACACGATCATCTATATCACAATCATCATCCATGTAAGGATAAGTCAACTGATCCAAAATGTCAGAGGCGGAAGACCCCGAAAACTTGAATCCGTGTTTAGCACCCACGACCCCCAAAAGTGATCAATCTGAGCTTTTTAGCACCCTTGGCCTTGTCCTTTGCCTTACAAGCTGGATGAATATGGCACCCGTTGCACCGGGGTCGCCCGCATTTGCTTGTAAACTTGGAGTGGTTCGTGGGCTTGGATGAGACCTTGGTGAACATGCCGGCGGTTGGTGGTGAGCCAAGCTTGTTAAAATGCCTAGCCACGGGCCTTAAAGGTGGTGGTAGGATGGCGGTGGTCCGGACCGTGCCATGCTGGCGACCCTCTCTCTTCATCTTTGGTTGTGTTCTTGTGAGCTTGGTGGAAATGGTAGTAAAATGTGTTCATGAATGTAGGCTTAAATAGAAAGACATCCTTGAAAACTTGGGTAGCAAGGAGGTTGATTGGTCAATTGTTCATCCAATGATGGCGTGGTGGACAAGCAAATGGCTTGTTTGGGTGTGCTTACAATTAAGTAAAGTCCCATTTTTTCGTTAAGCCAACATGTTATAAGTAAAATCAATGCAACAATTTACCTAAATTCCCTTCTAATGGCATGTTTTAAACGATATAAATTGTAAATAAATAGAAATGAGTAATTGATAAATGACTAGTACTTGTAATTTTCACCAGATAAGTATTAAAAATGAGGTTTAATCAATTATAACTAGTGTCAATCGACCACTAAAGTCTTCTGTATAACTTTAAAGATGGGTTGGTAAAATTTCAAAAATATTAGTGCGATATAAAAAAATTACGTAATTGACACAGAACATCCTTATCATTTGCCTTCATTAGAAAATCTTTGCGCAAATCGCACATGACATAATTTACAAGGATAAAATTCCCATTCTTCATTAGGAAAACGATATTTCAAAATGCCCATCTTCTCCCAGCCCAGCCCAGCCCAGCCCATCCCCTCCCAAATTCCTTCCCAGGCTTCAAAATGTGTTACAGCAAAAGCACTGCTAAAGAAATTGGTGTTCCAGACATTAATATCAAGAGCCGTGCCATTCACTATACGTGATCCGGATGTGGGTGAGGATCAGAGGTTTCAAGTAGTGATGCCTTGTCTTCTGCATTTGTACTAAGGCAAATTGCCATATTCTTGGAACGATATAGCACAAAATGCTGTAACATAAAGAGAATGTCGAAGAAGAGAGACACCTGCAAAATTCATTCAAACAAAACTAGATGAAAGGGGGACGTTGGTGTTGTTGCTGTGGTAGTCCACAAAAAATGCAACAGGGTTAAATAGCAATGTTCACAGAAAATATAATGTGCTGGAATTTGAAAGTCCGCCATTTAATGAGAATTCTTCAGGAAAGCAACCGATGAAAAATGAACTAATCACGAATCCCACTGCAGAACTCTCAGAAGGTTATAAATATTTCATAAAAATATCATGTTATTGCCGCACATTGACTAATTGAGCAGAAAATACACTTGTAACCACTTTAGTTAAGCAAAGAATGAGTTCATAAGAAAACCAACCCGGAATTTCAGAAAAATCCAGATCTGGAGCAAGATAAAGTGTTTTAGAGTGAAACTATTTGCATTACATTCAAGTAAGAAACTTCAATTCACAATTTGATTCACAATTTCCATTCACTGGAATTCACATTTTCTTGATTAATGGTGGTCAAGATATTCGTGGAGATGACTTCAGGTTTGGTTGTCATTTCTCTCTTTTGGGGTTTCTCAAAACAAAATTCTGCAACCAATTCACAGAACAGCACGTAACGAGAATGAATAAGGAAGATCAAGTGTATAGTTAGCATGAGCTATCCATTTTTCGAAAGGAACAAATAAAATCAAAATTTTTACAAGTGTAAGGTAGTTAATTAATAAAAGAATTCAAATCTGACCTCCTGGACCCTATCTTTATGACAAAAGAGGCTATTAACAAGCAGATAATAAAATCGACTAACATGAAAATAAATAAGATATGACAATCACACATATTGAGTAAAATTGATAGGAAGCTTTCCATACCAAAGACAACATAATCTTGCCCATATTGCCGTAAAAGTTCACCCAGGACCCTGAGAAGAGAGTGAAATTATTGGACATGAGATATAGCTTCGGATATCTTAATCCCCGAACGAATATCCATTTATTTGATTTTGTGAAGTATATCCATGTATTTGATTACGTTAACTCACTTTGATCTATGGATTCCACAGTCATTTGACAAAAACTTGTTGTGCTTCCCACAAAATCAAGCAAAACATAGCCAATGCTAAATCCAATCGTGCTTTTACGTTGAAAGTTGAAGAAGGCCTATAGTTAACAGCAGAAAATATGTTAGACTATACTACTTAAATGGAAGAATGAAGACCAGTATGTATGAAATATAAATATTAAGGTCCACTGCAATGGAAATTTAGAGGACGTGAAAGAGGTCGAAAAATCCTGAACTAGAATTATATCCAAGTGAAAATACTAAGAAAGATAAGTTTTTGTACTAGCCTGGGGAATGTACTTGATGGTTGTCATAATAACCTGCAGTGTACTGAGTCATAGATGAGAAGCAAGAAGTTAAAAAGAGAGGCAATGAAGCCTAGTTGAAAACTCCCAATACATGTTTGGTACATTGGTCTAAACTGCATTAAACAGGATTAAGGAAATATGCATAGTATCTTATACCAATCAAAAACAGGTCCTCAGCATACTTGTTTGTATTAGAGGCAGCTTACTTGAAGCAGGAGACAAGCCAAAGCCAGGAATGGTTAGGCATAGCAACAAATACACAAACTGCAGCTGAAAACAATGCTGTCGAAACAATTGCAATAGTAGCTTTTGACACCTTCTGATTTCCACGCTGTAATAATGAGTTAACACAAACACCGTATAAAAAATATTATAGAATTTTTAGTCTGCATACATTGATATCCGAAAGATGGCAGTAAACAAGACATAAGTTCAACACATTTTTAACCTGGGTCCCATAAGTTGTACTGATATCAAACAGAGAGCAGTTTTTAATCTAAGCCCAAATCCAGTATAGTGGAACTACATTGTTTCATTCACCATCTAAACCGTGTTTGAAAACACCAAAGTAAAATTTTACTACTTACATCATAAATGGCTATTTGAAACAAGGTTAAAGAAGTCAACAGAACAGCATGAATTGAGAAAGCTAAATCATTGGCTGCCACAGGTATCATCTGCATAAAACAATCACAAAAGGAAAAAATGAAAACAAACACCAACAATCAAAACCCCAGAGTGCCAGCCAAAAAACGAAGAAGAAACAGAACTCAGGCTCAGTAATTAAATCTGGTGAATGAAGTACCTGGTCAAAGCCATATTTCTGACGGTACTGTCTCTGCACGGTGGAGCTAAAGAAGAGAGAGGCGTTGTAAACCAGATAACAAGTGTGTTTAGTCAAATTCAACACCGCAAAATCAAAATTTAGTCCCACTACACTGCCAAAACAATTAGTGTTACTTCAAAGCTCCATATAAACACAGATGTATAATATTAAGGATGAAATACAAATTGGGAGGACACGAATACCTTTTCCTTCGGAAATTTAAGATGACTTGTGGATAGAAACAAATTGCCCATGCGCAAAAAGAAATCCATCCCAAAACGTAGTATAGTACTTCCATATAACTTGAATTCCAAGACGCCATTTCTTCTTATGATAAATTGAGAATTTTGCTTAACAATTCATAGTATGAATAACCGCTAGGGTTAGGAGTCTGGGAGCGGAAAGTGATTTCAATTATATAATGGGAATGATTGTGATTCAATTGAATTGTGATGAAGATGACATAATATAATGAGAGCCGAAACAAGCTAATCAAATGTAAGGCTGGTGGGACCCACATGAAGTTTGTGCATATGCGGCGCCCCGGCATGTCATTCAATTCATGCAAAAATTCCGCGTGAATAGTTTGTATAGCCTGAAGTTAATAGAAATCACGATTCTCTGTAATTTCCGCATTGGCAAGGTGATCGAGTGTTCATCGAAATTAACAGGAGGAAAGGAAGTCGTTGAAAATGTGTCGAGAATGTCAATAAATAAAAATAAAAAATTTAAAAAAAATCTATTTATCCCCAATCAATTAACAGAACTATAAAGCTCAGTCATTTTATTTCAGAAAATAACAAATTATTTCCCACACAATACTCAAACTCAATCACTGATACAAAATCGTGCAGAAATCTAGATTTGTATCTGCCCAGGAACTTAAAATCCAGTGCGCTCAAGTTTCTTGATGTTCTGGATTTGCATTCCAGGATTCAGTCCCTTTGGGCAAGCTTTAGCACAGTTCAAAATGGTATGGCACCGATATAACTTGAACTCATCATTTACTGCCTCAAGGCGCTCTTTGGTGTATTCATCACGGCTATCCATTATCCATCTGCATCAAACAGTCAAAACACAGTTTATGAGTTATCGGCATTAACATGTTGCAAACTGGATCTACCGAGGAAACCAATAAGAGTGATGAATCAGATCAGTAAAATTAAATTAAGTGACAATCATAAATAAGATTTCACTCAAACATAGTCAATGACAGGCAGTTTACACCATAGGCAATGCATGTTCATATTAGCAATAAATATGCTCTATCAACTTTCAAGCTCGCTGCATACGCAGTTCATCATTCATTTTCAACTGAATTTCACCAAAACTGTCAAATCAGAACGTTAGTAGATTACTGGCTTGATTTCAAGAGATTATATGGTTTGAAGAAGCCACCTCCAGAATGAATTTAACGAAAGCTCAACTTTGAGCATTCCTAATTATTTTTGGACACATAACAAATGTTAGCAACTGCACAATCATTATAAGTGGGATGCTTGAACTTTACCTCAATGTGACATGCAGATACAAGTATGGATAGGATTTAACTTTATTCTTGTGGGCTCCATTAAGCACAGGGCGTAAACTCGTCACAGACTTTCCACACCAGCCTAAAGTTATTAGAACTAAAACATATTCCAAACATGATAATAAACCTCTCTACAAGGAACTATATCAAACACCCGCAGAATGATATAAGATTTAAGACATGCAAATCCAATACCTTGCTGAAAAGAAGAGAAATCCAGAAAGGCAATGTTAATGCACATCATACACGAAAACTTTGCAATAACTCGTGTTCAAAAGATAAATGTTTACCATTATGGTCTAAAACAGACTTGCACAAAGCATTAAGAATTGATCTTGGGACAAAACTCTAATCAGTAATCACTCCTTATTCATAAATTCATAGTTTCAATAAAATTGACATATTTGAACTCAGATTTCAATCAACGTAGCCAACCTATGCATATCTCATTAAAGTAAGCAGAATTTAGTATAAAGCCAGAACAGGAAGAAATGATCGGTACCGATTGGCATGCAATAGGGCAGCAGGGCCGAGATAAGACTCGGGATTCCACCAGTAGCTGGGGCAGGATGTGCTACAGCAGGCGCACAAAATGCACTCATACATCCCGTCGAGTTTCTTTCTATCGTCCTTACTCTGCAGAATCTCTTTCCCGGCATTCTCTGGCGGGTTTTTCCTCTTCAGCCACGGCTCAATAGACTTATATTGGTTATAAAAATTAGTCATATCCACAACAAGATCCTTGATCACAAACATATGGGGCAGGGGAGTAATCATAGATGCCCCACCAGATGGGATCTTTGTCAAACAGGCTAGCCCATTCCGGCCGTCGATGTTCATAGCACACGAACCGCAGATTCCCTCACGGCAAGATCGCCGGAATGTCAATGTAGGGTCGGCCTCGTTTTTTATCTTGATTAGAGCATCCAGGACCATTGGTCCACACTCCTTGAGGTCAACCTCGTAATTTTGCAGCTCCGGCTTCTGAGTACTGTCCGGGTTCCATCTGTAGATTTGGAAGGTCTTGATGTTGCTTGTGGGCTTCGAACTTGGTTCCACCAATTGGGCCTTGGCCTCCGAGGAGTGGACCCGGTTGAGGATTACTCTCGCCGTCGGCACCGACGCCGGAACCCTAGCTATTGCCCGTCTGATCAAGCCGGTCGCCATTTATCGGTTAATGCTTTTCAGAGACTGAAAGCGAAAGAACAAAATGAAAATGGAGCCTGTACAACTAAATGGAGGTGCAACTGAAATGGCGGAAATGGGTTTGGTGGAACGTATGGAGATTAAGGGGTAGTTGATGGAGGGGGGAGGGTTTTGGAAATACAGTATGTTTTCAATAATAATTTTTGAGGAATATATAATTAAAGAGTAGAAAAAGTTTTAGACTCACTTGTAAAATATTTTATTATACCAGTGAATGATTGAAAATGAGAACGAAAATTAAATAATTTTATTTTAAAGAGAAATAATCAGGGCTAAGGGCATCTCCAACTACAACACCATTGCGCTATTTTGCACCATTTTTGGGTGGGTATTTATGTCATTTATTCTATATATTTTTTAATATAATAAATTATTATTTTTTTTAATATTAATTTAATATTATTTGTATTTGTATTTAAAAAAAATTTTAAATGTAAGATATAATAATTAATTAATTAATTAAAAGACGAAAACAATTTAAAATACATCAAACACGATTATTTATTAAAGTTAACATGAAATATATAAAATAGCGACATACATACGATAATCTAATTTTATTTTTAAAAAAAGGATACATTAAAAGTGCATTAATCGATCATTTGTAGGATGAACATATGAATTCTGAGAATTAAATTGCAAAAATTTAGCGACTTCGTAATATCGTCTATCCAAATTCGAAATGCATTGTGCTATTTTCTAATGGCATGATTTCATATTTTCGTTGTTGTAGTATTTTTATTAATTGTTCTATATTTTTTTATATTTATTAATGAATTTAATATTTTTCGTAATTTAACGTAATTATTTATTTAGTAATTTATGTATTTATGAAATAATTAAATAAATAATATTTCGAATAAATAAATTATAAAGAATAAAAAAAGGGAAGAAAATAGTTAAACACTATTCATTTGGTGTAATGGTTGGAGATGAATTTTAGTTTGATGCAAGATTTGGTGCAAAATTTGGTATAAAATGGTGCAAAATTTGGTGCAGGGTTGGAGATGGCCTAAGTAGCTTGGTTGGCAGTTGATATTAGTATCGTAATACGATCGTGTTTATGATTTCTCATTTTTCGAAAAATTTACAATCAGCCTCCCAATCTTTTGATTAGTGTGAAAATGGCTCAACATGTGTATTTTCTTTTAGTTTAGGTACAATCAAATCTTTTGTTTTAATTTTTCATCACGGGAAAATCAGCGACTATGGATTTTTATAGATAACGTGTCAAAGGACTCCCACGACTTGTGGATCCATTGAAATATGGGGTTGAAAATGAAGTTCTTAAATAATTTATAAAATTAGCCAAATGGAGGCTTAGTAATTTTCTATCAATTTCTGTTCCTTCTTTTAGTATATTTTGATTTTGTATTTTCGAGATTCCAAGAAATTTCACGTTCTCCTTATTTTGGCGTGATATTGTAAATATTTGCCAACACTTTACTTCTAGTCTTTTACCATAGCATTCGTCTTCATGTTAATGTAACAAAAAAAAAATTCCTAACTTCATTCTAAATTTGGTCATGATGGAAGATAAAAATGAAGAACATAAACAATAGTTTGCTTCATTACCTTGCACTTGACTCTGGTATTTGTTTTCGTATTATTTCGTTGAACTTAATAAATTCTTGCTATGTGTCGCAGATTGCTCTTTCTTCCATTAGCTCTTATAATTGGAGTACTGAGAGCAATGATTGATCTTCCAGTGATCTCGATTATTGCCTTCTGCCAAAGCCCTTACATGCATTTCAAGGGTTGGCATCATCTGTTTCACAATTGTATAGGTCGAGAGGGGCCATTCTTGGAAACAATACGTGTGCCATTTGCAGTTCTTACAATTTTACTCTAGCCATTGGCCGTTGTTGGGGCAGTTTTGAGTTCCATGGTTTCAAGTATCTTCTTGGGTGCTTATGTAGCTGTAATAGTGCATAGGTTAAATTTTTGGTGTTGGGTTTTGATGGTAGGAGTGCTCTATTTGGTTTGGACTTTGTTATATTGTCGCTTTATTGTCCATTTATGATTAATACAGCAATGATGTTCTAGAAATGCCTGAAGAATCCTGTTACCTAGGTTCGACTTTTGCTTGGAATCTTAGTACCCATTATTCTTTCAGAACATCAACTTATAATAGGCTACACTTGACATTGTCTTTGTGCCATTCCTGCAACCCACGTTACATAAAGAAGGCTCCATCACGAATGAGCTCCCACAAGTACCGATCATTCTTCCCATTCTGGCTTTATACTAAATTATGCTTCCTTTACTGAGATATGTATAAGGTGACTACCTTGATTGAAGTCTGAGTTCAAATATGTCAATTTTATCGAAACTATGAATTTATCAATAAGAAATGATTACTGATTTGAGTTTTGCCCCAAGATCAATTCTTAATTCTTTGTGCAAGTCTGTTTTAGACCATAATGGTAAACATTTATCTTTTGAACATGAGTTATTGCAAAGTTTTATGTGCATTAAAATTGCCTTTCTGGATTTCCCTTCTTTTCAGCAAGGTATTGGATTTACTTGTCTTAAATCTTATGTCATTGTGCAGGTGTTTGATATAGTTCCTTGTAGACGTTCATTATAATGTTTCGAATATGTTTTAGTTCTAATAACTTTAGGCTGGTATGGAAAGTCTGTGACCAGTTCAAGCTGAGATTTTTCTTCATAAAAATAGATTTATAATCTCCATGCCCTGTGCTTAATGGTGCCCACAAGAATAAAGTTAAATCCTATCCATATTTGTATCTGCATCTCACGTTGTTTCTGTGATTGTAATCTTGTTTACTTTATATTGTCCCATAACTCTCAAGGCAGTTCTCCATCAACTGGTGGTTTATTGTTGTTCCGCCTCCAACTGGTCAAGTACGTCAAAATAAAAAACTATAAGCTGGCATATGCTAAAAACTATTTGCGAAGAGTTGTCTTTGAAATATTCATGATAGGGTGGGGTATCATAGGCAAGGACGTAAAAGTAGAGAAGTAAACAATGACACGTTTTAATCTTTTTAGGAAATTCAGGAGTTGGAGGTTTTGGAATAGAAGGCCAAGCCTTGTGAGGTATCTCAACTAGTGGTTAAGGATTTGAAAGGGGAATCTGTAGAAGATTTTGCCCTCGTTTGGTTGCAATTTTTCACCTCAAAAAATTGATTTTTATTATTTCATTATTTCAGTCGTTATTTTTCACTTTTTCACTCACAGGTTATTAAGGAAGAGAATTCAGCCAAGAATCCAGCTTAACCAGCAAGCTAAATCAACAAGTAAACATGAGGCCAAAAATCATGCAATCACAAAACATCAGGATAAACCAGCAAGCAATCATGAAGCTAAAATCATGCAATCAGCAAGACATCAAGACACCAACTGTTAGCTGAAATCATGGTTGTGACTAGGAGAAAAATTGTGGAGTAATCTTCTATATATTCTATACTTAGAACATGATGTAATGTGTATATATATCCATACAACAGTGAATGAAAGTGTGTAGCCTTTCTAGAATTTATGTGCAGCCTGAAATTCTCTTTATTTTATCAGAGCGTACAATTTCTAATGAGTATCTTGAATCCTCAAAAATGACTTCTGCTAAAACCACCCCTTCTTTCACTTCTCCAGTCACTGTTATTTCTCTCTTTGGAACTAACTTAGTTACTCTAAACACTAATGCACAAGTCAATGAAAAGCTCACCCCATCCACCTGTCCTCAATGGCAAGCCCAATTTGAGGCCTTTCTCATTGGCTACAACCTCATGGATTATGTCATAGGTACTTCTGTCTGTCCACAGAAATCTAATCATGCACACTTACCATAGGTTCGCCAAGACAATCTCATTCTCCATGGCACTCTCATCTACCTCTCCCACCATTACACCTGTTATTGCACAGTCTAAGACATCACATGATGCTTGGACAAAACTCAACCAGATGTATGCAAGCAAATCTCGGACCCATGCCATTCAATTGAAGGAAGAACTTACTCTCATTCAACGGGGTAACAGTTTGGTAACAGATAACCTGCAAGCCATAAAAATCCTTGCAGATGAGTTTGCATTGATAGATCATCCAGTTTCCTATGATTATCTCACTATCTACATTCATAATGGTTTGGGATCAAAATTTTGAGAGATTGCTGGTCCTATTGGCACCTATGAATCATCCTTGACCTTTGAAGAAATCCATGACTTGTTGGTCATGAGAGCTATCTCCGACGCCTGGAAACTTCTGTCCAGCCTCTTGTAACTACCGCTAACACATCCCAACGTCGTATCACCTCAGGACCTCGCGGTGGTAGGTTCTCCAGGCCTCGCAATCCTATAACCAAAGACAAGAGCCAAAATGATCTTGCATCTCCCAAACAGCGGTCTCATGGCCAACAGGACTAGCGATTCGAGCCATGTCGTTACAAGCCCAAATGCCAGTTCTACTATGATTTGGGCAACACAGCTAAACACTGCCCCAAACTACAAGGCCAAAATGTCTCGCCCCACTATGCCTCTTCGTCTGTATATGACAAAAAATGGCTTGTTGATTCTGCTGCCTCCCACAATATCACCTATGACTTATCTAATTATCTATTCACCTAGAATATAATGGCACGGATGTAGTAGTCATTGGTGATGAATCAGGTTTGTCGGTCTCTCACGTCGGATCTTTGGCTTTAAAATTGCCCTCTCATATTTTCCAACTCTGAGATACCCTTTATGTCCCTAGTATTAAAAAAAATTGATTTCGGTTCTTCATTTTACTAAACATAATAATGTCTTGCTTGAGTTTCACCCATCTCATTTTTTTGTGAAGGATCAAACCACAAGGGCAACAATACTACGAGGAGAATGTGAAAAATGGTGTCTATCCTTTTCCTGATTCACTGGCACCTACTTCACCAAATAAAGTAGCTTATGTTCATGAACGTACTACAGAACCTGGTTGGCTTAAAAGGCTTGGGCATCCTTCATCAAAAGTTGTCTCTCACATTTTTAATCAGTTTCATTTACCTCTTAAAAAATCAAAAACATCTTCCTTATCTATCTCTTGCTCAATTAATAAGAATCATAGAAAACCTTTTCGCACTACCAGTCTCACTAGCACTGCCCCTTTTGAATTTAATATACTGATATTTGGGGCCCTACTCATGAAGTTGGAACAGAGGGATCAAAATACTACCTCATCCTTGTTGATATGTTTGGTTATATCCCATGGCATAAAAATCCAACGTCCAAAGCATTTTTTTCCTAGTTCAAACATTTAGTGGAGACACAATTTCAAGCCAAAATTAGAACTATCTGTCCTAACAATGGTGGTGAATATATTGCCTTAAAACCTTATCTCTCACTCCATGGGATCAGTCACTATACTACTACTCCTCACACCCCTCAAAAAAATTGTATCTCGGAGTGTTGTCATCACCATCTAGTTGAAACTTGGCTCTCCCTTCTTACCAAAGCCTCCATGTCCCTAAAATATTGGTCATATGCCTTTCAAACAGCCACATATTTTAAATAGATGCCTACACCCCTTTTAAAAAACAAATCATCATTTGAAACATTGTCCGGTACCACTCCAAATTATTTAAAACTCTGACAATTTGGTTGTATGTGTTTTCCTTATACTAGGCCCTACAATCTTCATAAGCTTGAGCCCAAATCCACGCCCTGTGTGTTCATAGGTTATTCTCAAAACCAAAATGCCTATCAATGCTAGGACCTTAAAACCTCTTGTGTCTATCTGAGTAAACATGTTCTATTTGCAAAAGATATTTTTTCCCTGACCTCTCAAGAACCTCAACATGATCCCAAAGATTCGCTCCCAATAGCAAGGCTTTTCCCGTCCCAGCCCGGGCTACTTCTCGTCTTCCTCAAGTCGCATATAACCCAACCTCCGGTGAAGCTGCAAGTGAATCTGGATGCAAAGATTGATGTTGTCTCTGCACCTCCTCATGGTATGTCCTCTCCATCATCTCCTAATCTAAATTCTTCGTGCTCTTCTAGTGATGGCCTGAATAATTCATTCACTAGTTATCCTAAATCTGATCCATCCAGAACTCTTTTGTTCCTTTAGATTCACCACATTCATCACCTATATCTTTACCACCGTCCCCACCTAGGACACATTCCATGACCACTAGATCTATGAACAATATATATAAATCTTGCTACAAAACGTCCCATACGTCATACCCTAGAACCAACATGTGTGACCCAAGCTCTTCAAAATCACCATTGGCGTACTGCTATGTCTAAGGAGCTCACTACACTTATGCAACATGGTACTTAGGACTTGGTTCGTGCTCCTATGGGTTCCAATTTAATTGGTTGTATATGGGTATTTCGTGTAAAGCGCAAACCTGATGGGACCAGTGATAGACTTAAAGTCAGCTAGTGGGAAAAGGCTATAATCAGGCCCGGGACTTGACTACAAGGAGACATTCAATCCGGTTGTTAAACCAGCTACCATCCACACTATTTTATCTATTGCTGTGATGCAAGGATGCTTGCGACAACTTGATATTATCAATTCATTCCTGCACAGTACACTCACAGAGGATGTTTATATGTCACAACCACCTGGGTTTAGAGATTTTTAATATCTAGACTATGTGTGCAAGTTGTGCAAAGCTATATATGGTCTCAAGCAAACCCTGTGGGTATGGTACTTCGCCTTTAAAGAAGCCTTGCTTAGTTTATATATCAACTCTAAAGCAGATACCTTCTTGTTTATATATCATTCTAGCTCATCATATCCTATTTTCTTGTCTATGTAGATGACTTGATAATTATCGAAAATGACTCACTCTTTGTATCCAAGATAGTAAAACAGCTTGGGACACAATTCTCTCTCAAAGATTTGGGCAATTTGCATTTTTTCCTCAGTGTGGAAGTGATACCCACAAGTAGTGGTTTATTTCTATCTCAACACAAGTACATCCGAGACCTTCTATATAAAACAAGTATGGAGGGTGCCAAAGATGTTACCATACCACTATCTACATCAGTTCCCTTGAAACTCTGTGATAGTACTTCTAGTATGGACAACAACTCATATAGGCAGGTTATTGGTTCTCTACAGTATTTATGTATGACCCGTCTCTATATTAGTTATGCAATAAACAAATTATCACATTTTATGTACAAACTGACTGTGACTCATTGGGCTACAGTTAAGAGATTGTTAAGGTATTTGAAAAATACCATCTTTCATGGCCTTCAGATCAATTCTTCCGCTAAACTAGTGCTTTGATCTTTCTCTGATGCTGATTGGGTGGGGAATCTTGATGACCGCAGCTCCACCTCTACATATGCAATTTTCCTAGGCTGCAATCTCATCTGCTGGAGTTCTAAGAAGCAGCGCTTTATTGCTTGTTCTTCCACTGAAGCCGAATATCGAGCCCTTGCTAGCACTACTTCTGAAACTGTGTGGCTCCTTTCTCTCTTAATGGAACTTGGATTTCCTCTTCAAGGGTCACCAACACTTCTTTGTTACAATCTTTGGGAAACCAATTAAGTCTTAACCCGGTCCAACATACTCGGATGAAACACATCCAGATTGATCTCCACTTTCTCAGTGATCTAGTACAACAATGCAAACTTCAAGTTCAGCATGCTAATACACACAATCAGTTGGCTGATCTCCTTACAAAACCTCTTTCTCGTCATCGAACTGTACTCTTACGGAACAAGCTTGGAATCGTCGATGGCGGCTCCATCTTGGGAGGTGTATTAAGGAAGAAAATTCAGCCAAGAATCCAGCCTAACCAGCAAGCAATCAGAAAGCTAAATCAGCTAGCAAACAGGAGGCCAAAAATCATGTAATCAGCAAAACATCAAGATAAAACAGCGAGCAATCAGGAAGCAAAATCATGTAATCCGCAAGACATCAGGACACCAACTGTTAGCTGAAATCATGGCTGTGACTAGGAGCAAAATTGTAGAGTAATCTTCTGTATATTCTATACTTAGAACATGATGTAATGTGTATATATATCCATACAATAGTGAATGAAAATGTGTAGCTTCTCTACAATTTATGTGCAGCCTGAAATTCTCTTTAAGGCCTACTTTTCTCTTTAACAGTCAGAAAATCAATTCTCATAATCACTATTGAACATGCCCTTTATATTTTCTTGCTTACTGGCTGGTGCTATCTATGAGACTAAGTACTTGCTAGGAACTTCAATGGCTTGCCCTGTTATTGTGAAGGTGCGGTTCAAAGATAAAATAAATGACAATTTGACTTCCTTACTATGTTATTGAAATATTACTTTTATATCTAATTTGCAACTTTATGATAGCCATCGGTTGATTATTAGTTGGTCCTTGGTACATAATTTTTTTGTGTTGGTTGGATACGAAATGGCAGGCCATGGTTCATGTCACCAGAGAAGTTGGAACTGATGTTGTTTCTGATGGATGTACGGGGAAGGGAAATGATCAGGCATGCTTCTCAAAATAGTCCTCCTCTTCTTATCCTCTTTTTGTGCTTTTTTATTTGATTGGTAGCTATGTTTTGATTTTATAAACATTCCTGACTGGCGCTTCTTTATTGTTTCATTCTTTGCTCTGAATCCTTAACTCAGCGTTGTTGCTTCTTGGAGAGAATGGGAAATAACGGGAAGAAAAGATACCATTGAAAACACAATTTGCCTGTTTCAGTGTCAAAGAAATCCATTTATAGTAGAGATAGAAACATGTGGCACCTCAGTCATGATATAATTGAACAATGCACTAATCCAACAATTTATAATCTGTATATTCCTCTTGTTTGTCATTTCCTCATGGAATTAGATTAAATAATGATTTGACATCATTTCAACCACACATTCTTAAATAATCATGATTCAGGTTGAGAGTCTCGGTCATTGAGTCAATTTTCTTGTCTTTACGATTCAGGTTGCTTTCATATCATTTACTGCTTGCACCGCCAGAATGATGACAGCACAAGCGTTGATAGATTCTTTTCGTGCCTCGAAAGTCGAAGCTATTTGTTGAAATGGAATCAGTATTTTCCATCCGCTAGTTATTGTTTTCTTGAAATGAGATGTGGAATGAGCAAGGCATATGCTGATTATATAGAAAAAGATCGTGTTAACCATCTGTAAATTCAAAAATAGTGCCGTTGGTAAATTAAAAATAGTTGGTGTATCTTTAATTTGGTGCAAGCAAATCATCCAAAAGCTTGTAAAACTGGACACTCCATCCAGTGTCGCCATCAGTAGATTGCTCTAAGCCAACTGATGACAGTGGACGAAGTGACCAGGTTTACAAGCAAACTAAAGTTGAGGGGCTAAATTGCATGAAATTAAAGATAGTTTACAAGAATGAACCTTGCTGAATGCACAATAACCCCAAATGCACTTAAAGATAGCTATGAATGAGGTGTCCAAGAAAAGAAAATTCGTCCTTTTGCACTTCAGATTTTTTTATTTTATTTATTTATTTTTTTTCAATCACACTCCCACCATTTATTTTGTTACATTCTCCATCCATATGAAAAACCTATATATCAACCTCTTAAAAACAATAGTAAGAAAAATACAAGAGAAACATCTACCGTATAGCTCAATGCTAAGTATGTGACGATACAACAACAAATTGCAAACAGGTTTCTAACTAGGTACGAAGTCTGTTTATCCAATTTCTACATCTCTTTCGACAACTGTTTGAGCCCCTTGATCAGAACCCGAGATGTCTGTTCTGCTTTGAAAAGACTTCTGGCTAAATATCTGGGTGAACATGCTTTTTGACCTCGGAACTGTTTGAGGCCGACTGCTGCTTGATTTTGAGTTCTCGCCATTCTTCTTAGCGAGCTCTTGTAAAATGATTTCCTTACTATCATCAAAACGACGCCTAAATGTTGGATATCTTGTTATAGACTTGGTTATCCCTTGAAGTCTTGACGAAAGAACGAAGAAATGGAAAAAGAAATTAGAACTTAAAAATATAATCTTGAACTTTTAATACGTAAAATTGATTATTTTTATAACATATCGTGTGTCTATTTTTTTACCATATAAGAAGTCTAAACAATTTAAAAGTAGTGTAAAAACATATAATCATGTTACAAAATTGTATTTTCTAATCAAGAAGTCGTTCAAGTTTACTAAACAAGATTGTATTTTCCATTTCTTGACATAGGGATTCTCGAAGTAATCATTTGAATGGTATACAATAGACAGTTTGGGTTTTTTTTTTTACAGCGTGGACGTTAATGATTTAAGAGACTTTAAACTATAAAAGATTCACTTTTACCTTCGAGCTAATGCATCAAGTGCAGCTCGTCTTAGCTCGGATTCAGGAGGGCTGATATTTGAATTCTCTAACCGCGCAGGATCACTGCTCAATAAAACTAATTTGCCAAGGTATTCCTCCTCTTCCTCAGAAAGGTTGTCAGCTTTAATCTGGTCTTTAATGATTAGTAGTGGATTAAGAAACCAATCAAAGAACGCATCTTTTGGCCTATTTGAGGTAGTTATTTCGGTATTGTCACCTGCAAGAGGGAGAGAATTTTCACACAATTGCTTCAACTATTGAGATGGGTGAACTCAAAATGTTTAAAGAACAGCTTCCACTTACTTAGCAATATACCAGTCGAATTAGCTTTTACAGAGTTTATAAGTGCCTGAAGAATGCAATAAGCGGGTAAACCGATGCTTATGACCTTTCCACTTCCTTTCTTATTCTTAGCATCTTCAATATCTTTTAGGGTTATTATCCCTTTAGAAACTAAAACTTCCCCACGTCGTTGACACTCCTCGAATAAGGAATTAGCTAACTATAACAACCACATTGCTCATCAGCACCAATTCAAGAAATAAATGTTAAATCACATATTGCAATTTCTTCACAAACTATCATTTGCTAAGGTTTAATGGAAGCATTAGACGACATTAAGATAGAAAAAGAAGCTAAAATTCATTATACTGTCCAGTAAGCATACCTCGAGGGGCTTCAACTCAATCATAGGTGCAGAAAGAGAAGTTGTACGTGAAGGTGCCTTTTTGAAAGAGCTGGGCCTTGAGAAAGAAGCAGAACTGGAGCTCATTCGTGATGGAGCCTCCTTTGTGTAACGTGGTCTGCAGGAATGGCACAAAGACAATGTCAAGTGTAGACTATTATAAGTTAATGTTCTGAAAGAATAATGTGTACTAAGATTCCAGGCAAAAGTTGAACCTAGGTAAGCAGGATCCTTCAGGCATGTCTAGAACATCATTGCTGTATTCATCATAAATGGACAATGAAGCGACAATATAACAAAGTCCAAACCAAATAGAGCACTCCTACCATCAAAACCCAACACCAAAAATTTAATAGTAGCAAAAGTTAATGAAATGATTTTATGGTTATTTTGTTTCTATTTTTTGTGGGTGGAGTGATGAGGAAAGGCAATTCAACCTTATACACTATTACAGCTGCATAAGAGCCCAAGAAGATGCTTGAAACCATGGAACCCAAAACTGCCCCAACAACGGCCAATGGCCAAAGTAAAATTGCGAGACCTGCTAATGGCACACATATTGTTTCCAAGAATGGCCCCTCTCCACCTATACAATCGTGAAACAGACGATGCCAACCCTTGAAAAGCATGTAAGGGCTTTTGCAGAAGGCAATAATCGAGATCACTGGAAGATCAATCATTGCTCCCAGTACTCCAATTATAAGAGCTAAAGGAAGAAAGAGCAATCTGTGGCACATAGCAAGAATTTATTAAGTTCAACAAAAATAATGCCAAAACAAATACCAGAGTCAAGTGCAAGGTAATGAAACAAACTATTGTTTAGGTTTGTCATTTTTATCTTCCTTCCATCAAGACCAAATTTAGAATGAAGTTAGGAATTTATTTTTATTTTTATTTATTTATTTATTTTTTGTTGCATTAATATGAATGAGGAATGCTGTGGTAAAAGACTAGAAGTTAAGTGTCGGCACAAATTTACAATATTACACCAAAATAAGGAGAATGTGAGCTTTCTTGGAATCTCGGCAATACAAAATCAAAATAAGCTAACAGAAGCAACAGAAATTGATAGAAAATCAAAAAGCCTCCGTTTGGCTAATTTTATAAATTATTTATGAACTTCATTTTGAACCCCACATTCGAACGGACACACAAGTCATATCCACTTATCCACCCTTATTACTATCTATTTATAAATTCTTTCCAAACGGAGGCTGAGTTAAAACCTTCTGCGATTCAATAATTTACAAGTTGAACCCCCCAACATAGAAGTCTTTAACATCGCATGGCAAGGTGAAGGAATAGGGAAACTATTCTTTTTCTACTCCCATTTGTGTCGGTGTAAACATGGAACAACCTTGAACTTTCAAGTATAAAATCAAGTAGATTTGATTAGAATTGGGATATCAAAAAATATGAAATCGGAACAACCCACAACTTTCAAATGAAACATTGTCTAACTCAAAAAATCTCCATGCATGTCTAAAACTATGGCTAGCAATGACAAATGAAGTTCAATTCAACTGAATGAGTAAGCAAGGAATACAAACCTAATTTCATAATATTTTCCCTTGGACAGTAGATCATCCATAATTGAGAAGTATGAATGGTAACAAACATCCATAAAATCCCTAATAACGGTGAAGCTCCCTTTGACTGTGCCCCAAGTTCCATCCTGCAAACATGATCATACAAGATCAGACTGATCTGTGTCTTGAAGTCACTAAAAAAATGAAAATATGTTCCTAGACTTAGCCCCTGTTTGATAACCATTAAACAAAACTCTTTTTTTCTCAAACTCATTTTCAACCACACATTCTCACAGTAAAATATCCTATACGTAAAACCCAAAAATTTTCCAACTTTTTAACGATACATTCCCCAAAAAATTCACTATTTTGAAACTCATTTTAATGGTTGTCAAACAAGGACTTAATACAATTTACACGTACACATATACAGTGACAAAGTTTATCTGTCTTCCCTTCCTCGACTGCCTGAAAAGTGGCAAACATTGGTGCAAGGAAGCCATATGCTGCTCCTCCTAAAATGCTACTGACAATTCCAACTGGAGGCCATGTAATTGAGATGATGGCAGTACATATGCAAAGTACAACTTTCAAAACTGGCCCAAGTTGTTTTGTTCTGAAATTAAAAGAAACGAGAAGATATCAGTTCAATTACAACGTATAAATGTCGCAAGCAAATATAAAAGTTGGAAGTCTCCAGGACGTACCTCAAAATGCAATAACATGTATAAAAAAGGTGTATCGGCCAAAGACTCAAAATTATTCCAGATATCCCAATCATCATTATAAGACATACAAACGGGAATAACACGATGCCTGAAAGACAAAAATGCGAAACTCTTCATCATGCATACATCTTTTTCCAATAAAAACTTTTTAATGCCATACAATAAGATGCGTTAATATAGCTGAATGCTAATATTAGCACTCTGTAGCAACAAATTCACTTCTACTTGGTCAATAGTTCAGCCAGTATTTAAAAGCAATAAACAACATTAACAAACTTTCCTGTATTTTAGCCCAGAGGCGAGAAATAAAGTCCTCAAATACAAAAATATTGCCTTGCCAAATCAATCACCAATCGAAAAACTACAATACCTCAAATCTGGAATATTCGAATTTAGACGAACATACAGATGACAGAATTTCTTTTTAATTCTTAACATATCCCTTGAGTCAATGCATTCCACAAAAAAAGAAGCCATTTTTCCAAACACAAAATCACTGATAAATCTTAATTGAACAATACATGCTAGAAAGAATGAAAAAACTGTGTAACAGAACAGGAAAATTTTGTATGTAGCAGAACAAGTATACCCAGTCTGAATGCTAAACATCAAACAACTCTTAATAAACATAAGAAAATAAGAAAAAATGGGCAATTGATACAAACCTTTGATAAAGCCAAGAATTAGAAGGCCAATGAAGTAAGGCAAGAACCGTACGAAGTTTCTCAATGAAGCCAACACCCCCCTTGGGGGTTCCATACCTTAATTTCTGGATTTTTCACAGAATAAACAGAAATTCATTTCTCAATCAACCCAAACTCTCAAAATGCATCCTAAAAAACATAGCTTTATCCTCACTCAACCCCACCTCTGGCATCCGATACCCACTAGTGCGTCCGTATTTTTCTTTACCCAGGGATTTAATTCTTATTAAATTTAAAGTTTAAATTGAAACAAATTGAAGAACAGAATTAATTTTGTAAATTGAGGAAATAACTGCCGTAAAAGACAACTACAGTACTACTTGTAGATTGGGAGCATTTCCTACAGAGATTTTACAAGCAAGGAATCAGTACTTTCGGGGCAAAGAGCAAAGATTCAGGTTTGTTTATCCGCTCTGTAAATTGTAGCAAAAAGTATGGAAAAGCAAAAAATAAAACATTAAAATATATTGCCATATAGTTGCGTGTTTAATGTGAAAGAAAATTATTAAAGCAAACTAGTAACTTTTCTTGGACAAAAATCGAGGTTTAGTTGACCGGTGACTTAATTTAATCAATGGTTACTACACTTTGCTACAAGTTACTACCAATTCATCAAAATTTAAAATGTTACTCTCTACTCACCGAACTTTGCTATAAATTATTTGATTATTACTTGCTTATTGAAATTTAAAATAATATTTATTGTTCACCCAAATTTGAACAAAGTTATCAATCAATTACTCATATCATTTACATGAGCGTTACTTATTACAAAATTTAGTTAGCAACGAATAATTTTATTCAAGTCTAGGTAAACAATGAGTAACTTTTTAAATTTTAATGAGTAAATAGTAATCTATAGTAAAATTGAGTGATTAACGAGGAATTTTTTAAAGATCATTGAACGGATAGTAACCCATAAAAAGTTTATAACCATTTATTAAATTATCTCGTTTTCTAAGTGCACAACAACCAATGTCACTTTGACAAGTCTACTAGATAAAAAGCTGACACGTGTTTTTATACTTTTATCTTAATTGTGTCACTTTATCGTATTTAGGAGCCGAATCCATTAGACAGCAGTCAGTTAAGTCACATTCCACCTGTTCTTCACCCTAGTAAGATGGTTATTTGTGACATAATCATTTTATAAAATAAGTAATTTTTAGGGTCCGTTTGATTGTAAAGATAAAATTTGGGTAGAAAGAAAACGAATTCTAAAAAATTAAATTGCCTAAAAGTCATTTTACTGGGAATTGTTAATTAATAGTGTTTGATTGGTATAATTTTTCACTTGAAAAATATTAAAATAAAAGTGTCTTTTGATATTCGTTTAGTTTAAGTTTTCGTGGAAATTGTTAATTTAAGGGATATTCTCTTTTACAATTGTTCCTAGAACTTGTTTCTATTGACAAAAAAAATCAAGAAAATCAAAAATCATCCAAAGAATTATCTATTTTTTGGTGTTCGTTTGACTTAGTTTTACATTAAAATTGTTAATTTAAGGAATATTTTCTTTCACAATTGTTCCTAGAATCTGTTTCAATTGTTAAAAAAAAAAAAAGGAAAAGCTGAATTCCCACCAAAATGGTGGGAATTGCTTTTCATCAAAAAGTAAGAAAACGCTTATGTAGCATGAGTTTAGGGAAAATCTTTTTCATGAAAAATTTCTACCATCAAACATGCCAAAAAATGGGAAATGGACTTTAATTTCTATCTTCCATGGAAAATGGAGGCATATCAAACAGGGTCTTAATAAAATTGATATTTTTTTTAGATGTTGGAGACTAATTGAAAGGAAAAAGTCTACCTTGATCACATCGATATTGTATGAGCAAAAAAAAAAAGTGATTCATTGAACTAATAGAGATTTCGATATAAGACGTCGCCAGAAACCCAATCCCAACAAATGATATAACATGATGATTTGGCCGTCTCCGACACAGGGAATGTCATTGCTTTGAATATTGTGCGACTTCTTTCATTGCACTCGCTAATACTATGACGTGATTCGAGAATCTACGTAGGACTTGGGTCAATTAACACAATCAAAGTAGAAACAAATATAATCCCGAATTTTATTCTCAGCTTTGTTATAGTAAAACCTTGAATCAAAATGAATTCACAGCCCAAAAGGGGCAAGGCTGAATATGGTTCAACTTGTTCTAAACTATGCTCAAAAACCATTCTAAGATTCTAGTGAGACTTCAAAATCGTGATTTCAGTTCAGTTTGATAGATTGGAAATTTTTTTTTTTTCCATCTATGAATGGGATGCCACACAAGAAGCCTTGTTTGTTGAAGGCCCATTGCTCAGTGCTTGCACTGATTGACAAACAATTGGACAAAGCCCAAAGTTGGAACTCAGATAAACATATTTTTTAGGGAAAAATTCATAACTAAATTGTTACGTATCACCAATTTCAAAATTAAGAATAAAAATTTCAAATTCCAAAAATAAGATATTTATTAAACTTTATTTATGATTTAATTATTTAATAATATATTTAATTAATTAATATATCAAGATCACAGATTTGTACAATTTGATCACGAAGTAACGATTTAGTTAAACACATTATTTTTCGGTCACCAATCAGAATTTTTATATGTTACAAATTATTGTACGATCACAATTTAAAAATTTTATAGATCACAATTTATTCATTGATCAAAAATAAAAAATTTATAAGTCACAATTTATTTATTAGTTACAAATCATAAATATTATAAATCATAAATTATCAAATTATTGGTCATAACTTAACAAATTTTTATATTACGTATTATTTATTAGTCACAAATTATCTATTCCATTAATTATTTATTATTTGCTGATCACAATCAACCAAATAATTTATGACCATCACCTTACCACAACCTCCAACACCACAGTTGCCAACATCATTGCCACCAAAGCCATCGTGGCCACCTTACAACAATCAACAGTACCACTACCATGTCCAACACCTCAAACAAACTAACACCCACCAACACTACCTCACCACCATTGCTAACACTGCCGCCACCACACCATCACCTCACAAAACATTTACAAAACACAAATCAACTAAGCTCTTGGTGTTTCATACTCTTTTTCTACTTCAGCCAAACGAATCACCAAGTGGTAGCGATGATCTGAAGCGGTTGTGGTGTGAAGCACGTCTTCTCGACAATGGTGCTTTTTCGCAGAACATCTTCGCACGAGTCATCGCATGGTGCACCACCTTTTTGTGCGGTCGTTACACCAGCAAAAATAATTGGTTCGGAGCTCTTTCCTTAAGGCGCGACTAGGCACACTACCTTCCCGCGCAGCCCACTATAAAAAGAGCACACCACACACTGTAAGCAACGCCTCGCTGCAAGATGTACTACTTCGCACGGCATCGCTGCAAGACATCGATCTATTTGTTGGATAAAGAGGGATGGGTAAGGAGAGAGAGATAGAAGCTACAGAGGGATAAAAGAGAGAGAAAATTAGGGTACGGTAGTTTGGGAGTTGGAATCGGGGTGTGGATGTGTGTTTCATTTCTTTTAAAAAAATAAATTATCAAAATTTTAATAGTATTCTGATTTTTGAAAAACAAACTTGTAAGTCTTAATTTTGAAATGGTAAGTTTAAAATTCTGATTACTTGTAATTTCCACTATATTTTAGGCTTGAGAAAGGGATATTTTATTGGGCTTTTAGATTAGCGGAAATTACTATTAGAATTGAATGAAAAATATTGAAAGAAGTAATGAAAAATGTTGAATAGAAATTTTTTAATATGTTGTAACTCAAGTAACTCAAGTCCCTTCATGTTTTTAACTCCTTTATCTTTGAATGGTTTAACTCCTTGATTAATAAGCTAGCTTTCCTCCATTGGTATAAATAGGAGTCTCTCTAGGTTGAAAAATCACAAGTGAAATGTAAGCTTCTTCCTCTAAGTAACATTCTTCTTTTTCTCACTTTCAAGTTCTTCCTTGTACTTATAATTTCTTTGTGAGATAGAGTATATCACAGTTAGTTCGCAGGTGATTAACGTAGTGCAGCGTAAATCGACAACCGATTGTATCCTGGGAATCGAACACCGATCAAAACATCTTGCACTCTGGTGAGGCGGCGAATTCGATTTAAGGAAACTGTGAATACACAGGCCTTCGGTTTGATTTGATTCTCTAATATTTACCTACAAGCTTAAATCGAATTGGTTTTAGTAAATCAAATTTTGTTCATTAGTTTTTGTCAATTTTTCCAGTTCAAGATTTTTGCACGATTTCTAATTCATTTTAAATGATTGTTAAGTTGTTAATAATTTAACAAAATAATCTGTTCTTCAACTCTGCAGTTTTATTTTCTGAACAGATAACTTGATCTCGAATTTATATACAACTTTACAAACTTATAATTATTCTAAATTATTTGTTGCTTGTTCCGGTTCAATGGCGTCACATGGAAATAACGATGTGAACAACGGAAGCAACACTGTTGGTATCGGTGTACCAAATCCTGCAATGACCGTTGTTAACCCTATGGAGACCACGACTGACATTTCTCCCATTGACGGGATAATTGGGGGGCGGGATTCCTTATGTTGGAGTGAACCCAACTTCGGCTGCGGGATCGACAATCCAGTTTGGCACAATACCTTTGCCAGTGCCTAGGGCTGCGGCTTCGGCACCTTTGCTATCGTTTTTGGCTCCATTTTCGGTGAATCATACAATTCAACCGGATAAGTTTGCTGGTACTGATTTTAAGACATGGCAGAATAAGATGGTTTTCTATCTCAGTACGTTGGGCCTTGCACGTTTTCTCACTGAGGATGCCCCTATCGTGGCTGAAAACGACACTGATGTGCATAGGCATGCAGATTGGGACGCTTGGAAAAGTGTTGATTTTTTGTGCCGTAACTATGTCTTGGATGGTCTACAGAATTCTCTGTATTATTTATATGTGGTAAAGAAGTCTGCTAAGGAGCTCTGGGAGTCCTTAAAAAAAAATATAAGACCGAGGATGTCGGATCTAAGAAATTCTTATCCAGTTGGTGTATGGACTTTGAAATGGTTGATTCACGTTCAGTGGTGAGCCAAGTTCAGGAGTATCAAGTGCTTTTGCAAGAAATGCATGCTGAGGGTCTGACCATGTCAGAATCTCTACAGGTGGCTACTGCTATTCACAAGCTACCTCCTCAGTGGAAGGCTTTCAAAAGCTATTTGCAGCATAAGAGGAAAGAGATGTCTTTCGAGGATTTAATTATCAAGCTGCGCATTGAGGAGGATAACAAACAAGCTGAACGTAAGTCAGAGAATTCTTACTCTAAGAAGGCTAATGTATTGGAGTACGGCCAAAGTTCTGGTACTAAGAAAGTTCACTACATTAAAGCCAAACAAGGTAACGAAAATCGAAAAGATAAAAAATAGGGTACGAAAGGGTCTCAGTTGAAGCCTGCAGGTGGGGTAGGAAAGAAACCTAAGTTCCAGTTCAATGGAAAGTGCTTCAATTGTGACAAAG